ATAATGATCGCTTTATTAAGAGTTCTTAAGACACAATTAACAAATAGTTCTTTGATAGATGCGCTATTATAGCGAATGTAAGAACTATTTTTGATAAGAAAATTGAAGAAGCTTTGAATAAGGCTCAAATATAATTGTCTATATGACTGGTCAATTTAAATAATATGTCCTTGATGGTGATCTTAAGAGTGACATTGATTTACATGAATTGATATGTACTAGTAGAAAATTTGATGTGATGGATTTATTATGTAAATATTCTATGTATTCATAAAACTAAATGGGTTGGAGAGAATGTTAAGAAGATTGATAGTATTCAGATAGGAATCATACAAGAAATAATGTAGGTGTGTTTATAGATTAGAGATAGAATTATAGCTTTAAAGATTATTGTTGATACAAATATTATGAATATTGTAAGCGCTTTAGATTATGTGTTCAAAATTAAAATTTTAGAATAACTTAGAAAAATTAATACAAAAGATATCTCTTGAAGAAAAAGTTTTTATTAGAGAAGATTTAAATGGACAAGTTGATAAAGATGTAAAAGATTTTAAAGTTGTTCATGATGGCTATGTGTTAGAGCTAGTAATCAAAGTGCTAGGACCATATTAAATTTTACTCAAGCTTATGATTTCATAATTACTAATATATTATTTAAGAAAAGAGAGAAGCATCTCATCACTCATAAGAATGAATATAATAAAACTCAGATTGTAAAGATTTTAAAATTATTCTGAGCGAAAGTTTATGTATATATCATCATTTATTAATTTTAGACTTTAAAATGAGGGGCAAAATAAAAAAAAAAGTAAAATATTATCCTAGGATTGGATGAGGCATTTAAAGGATACTAATGAAAAATATTTTTAAGATTAAGATTCAAAATATTAAAATTTTGATAGTGCATGAATATGCTAATATTATGTGGAAAAAAATAGCTAGTGATATTAAGAATTTAACAAAAGATGTGCGTGAAGTATCAAAAGAAAAAAAAAATATAATAATAAAAATAATTGGTGATGAAATCAAAAGTGCAATAAAAGATAAAAAATAAGAAGCCTTTTTATAAAAATTAGTTTAGGTGTAAAAGTTTAGAAAATAAGAAAATATATAAAGAGGATCGTAAGAAATTTAAAAAAGTAATATGCGATGCAAAGAATTTATCTTTTAGTAATTTATATGATAGATTAGATACTAAGGAAGACAAAAAATATATGTATAAGTTAGCCAAGCAAAGAGATATGATAAGTAAAAATGTAGTTCAAGTGAAATGCGTTAAAGATGAAGATAAAAATATATTTTTATTAGAAGATGATATTCAATAAAGGTGGATGAGATATTTTGATAAGTTTTTCATTTATTCCAAGTTATTCAACCTAATATTGATACTGTGTTAAGATTAGAGAGAATTCTCAATAATTTTTTTTGGGGTTCTAGTAATAATATTACTAGAATGTATTGGACCTCTTGGAGTAAACTTTGTGGTCCTTTAAAGGAAGGAGGCCTTGGTTGCAAATCTATCTCTGATTCTATTATTGTTTCTTCTATGAAAATGTGGTGGAATTTTAGGAAAAATGAAAGTCTTTGGGCATCTTTTATGAATTATAAGTATTGCAAAGGTAAACATCCCTTATGTTGTTACTACAGGCATGGTGAACTCTTTAATTTGGAAAAGACTTTATCAAATAAAAAATATTATGGAGCCTCTTATTGCTTGGGGTCTTAATTCTGGAAACTGTTACTTTTGGCAAGATAATTGGCTTTTTGAAGGCTCTATTGAATCCCTTATTTCTATTATTTCTTTTTCTGCTATTAAAGTTCATGAATTTTATCATGATAACACTTGGGATATGCAAAATATTCTTAACTTGGTTCCTCTGCTTATTAGTAATAAAGTTAAAGATATTTCTTTGGATAGTCAAAGAAAAGATCAAATTCTTTTTAAATTGTCTTATAAAGGAAATTTTGTTTTTAAAGTTGCTTGGGATTTCATTAGAAGCAAGAGAAATACTTCTATGGTTTTTAATATGATATGGAGTAATAATATTCCTACATCCTTTTCTATTCTTGTTTGGAGAATACTGAAAGGTTACATCCCTGTTGATGTTGTTCTTTGGAAAAAAGGTTTTTACCTTCCTTCTAAATGCTATTGTTGCTATCATATTGAAGATATAAACCATGTTTTTTATTAATGGTCCCATTGCTGCTAGAATTTGGATTTGGTTTGATAATTTTTTTAATACCAATTACTTTAGTGGACATTTATCTTTCAATCATTTCCTTACTGTTATCCTTCATAATACTACTAGAGGTCATATCAAAATTGTCACTGCTATCTCTCTTATTTGATTTTTATGGATGGATAGAAATGATGCTAAACATAGGAATATTCCTATGAATCATAATCGTATTATTGCTAGAACCAGAGAAAAAATTAATAGCCTTTATAAGGTGAATTTGATTCATTCTAAGTAATTTCGTGGCTTTAAATTTGTTGCTAACAAGTTAAATACTAATATTTTTGAAGAGCTTCATGAATCTTCTTATAAATTTGTTATTTGGAAGAAACCTGATATTCACTGCATTAAAATTAACACTGATGGTTCTGTTAGGTAAGGTCCTTATGGGTGTGGTGGTATCTTGAGAAATGATAAAGGTAATATTGTTGTGGCCTTTGCTTCTCCTCTTAATAAATGTTCTGTTTTGGTTGCAGAACTGATGGCTATTTATGAAGCCCTTAGAATCTGTCTTACCTCTGGTTATTTTAAAATCTGGTTAGAAATTGATGCCCTTTTAGTTATAAAAGAAATTTCTGCTAATAAGATGGGTAATTTTGATATTTTTTATATTATTAAAGATATAAAGAGAATGCTCTCTCATCTTGATTATAAAATCTCTCATATTTGGAGAGAAGGAAATGCGGCTGCAGACTTTTTAGCTAAAACTAGTGCCAATTTGAATCAATTAACTTCTTTTCACAATAATAATATTCCCTTTTTATTAAAGGGAATAATCAATCTTGATAAAACAGGTTTACCTTATATACGTATTTGATTTGGCTATGATGTTTAGAATTTTTAATCTTTTTTGGAAGGCTATGTTTGCCATTTTTCTTTGTAATTTTATGGGCAAGATTTTCATTTGGTTGGTTTCCTGATTGTGTTGGTATTTCTGGTTATTTGTGAGAGCTGGAAGGTGGCTGATTTGGCAACTTGGTAATGTTGTTTTGGTTATTTTAGAAATGAGTTGTTTATTATCCAATTTTTTGGTTTGGTTGTTTAGTAGTTGTTTTACTGTGAGTTATTATTTTGTTTGGCTGGAGGTTATTCTTTGTTACTGTGAGGGTTGGCTGTATCTCTATATTGGCTGGAAGGATTTCTTTGAATTTATTGGTCTGGACCTCTGCAATCATTTCCGGTTTAAGGTTTTATCTTGCCCATGTAAAATTACTTTGAAATCTTTGGTATTCCTTTCTTCCTTAATAGATTTTTTATTCCTGAGCCATAATAAATTTCAAAATTACATAATTTTTCTTAACTTTATGCTTATTTGTTACTTATCTTGCTTGGAGTTTTCTTATCCAGATTTTCAGGAAATTGAAGATTTCAAATATGGGAGATGGCTGGATATGTTTCATAAGACTGAGACTTTGAAGATTGCTCTTTTGATGGCTTTAAAAGACTTTAGTTTTTATTGTTTTTTTTTCTATGTATCTAGAAAGAGATTTAAGGCTCATTAGATTCTTATTTTATTTTTGTATTTTTTTTCTTTATTGTATTTTCTTTTTATTTTAGTTGAGCCTCTAGTCTCTTCTAAGGACTCTTTGTAATCGTTTTTTTAATAAATGCGTAAGCCCCTTTTGTGGGTTTTAACCAAAAAAAAAAAAAAATTGAAACAGTAAGAGGCACATCTAATTGCATGAGAATACCTGCCGTCCATGTGACTTGATCAATCCATGGATCAGAAGAAGAAGGCCTCCCTGACCTGCAACCAGTCCAGCTTTTAGTTGGAGAACCTATGGCAAAATGGAGGCATTCGAATGATGCTATGAAGGTCAAAGGACAACATTCATTATGTATATTAAATGTGTCCGTAATGAAATTCATAAAGTACTTCGTAAACATCACATGATAGTACAATGAAAGACTACACAACTACCTGCTTACACTAACCACTTCAATGCCCTTGGATACTGCAGCCTTGCAAATTGCAGTACCAACAAATCCAGTGCCTCCAAGTACAACAATCTACTAAAAATGCATAAGTAGACTTAGTTGCTACAGGAGATAAATGAAGTATAATTTTAAAGCACAGAAGATCAAACCCTCTCAGTTTTAACATCAGCTACAACACCGATAGGAGCTGAAGAGGAATCTTGGCTAATATTTGGCGCCGCATAGCGATTGGAGACTCTGATTCTGAATATAAAATTATGTAAAAATTAAAACAATTTAAATGCCTTACTTCTAATAAAGTATGAAAAATGATTCAGATGCTCATCAAAAGCATGCCTAAACAAGATGTAGTATAGATGCTCAAAGAATACATAAGCATCTTCATCATCCCATCAAGGACAAGAATCAATCAAAGAAAAAACAAACTACCAATTCCTTTTGCTTTTAGTTGAGTATGAAAGCACCAAATACCTATTTTATAATATGTAAGAATAATCATTTCCTATTTACCAATTCTCTACAAAAATAAATACGGAAACTTTATTTTAACCCAATTTTTGAACTCGCCATTAGGTAACAGGCTATTCAATTCACGCTGAGTTCCAGTTTACTTAACAAACTAACAGCAAGGTTTCAAAACTGCCATTCAACGAAAAATCATAAAAAATATAATTCACCAAATATATATTTTGGAATAACTATAAAAATCCCATATCAAAGTTAGATGGAGGTTCGAGGAGGTGTCAACCATTCAAGTGGCGATGATATGGAGCTTTCTGCAATGGCTCGGTGCAAAACTTTTCTAAGAAGTTACCCTAGATTTAATGAAATCAGACATCCTTGCTGCCAAATGAAAATACAGAGCTCTTCATCATTCTAACAGGAACAATCCAAAATAAGGACAATATTGGTCAAGGTAATTTGGAAAATATTAGAAGGTTTTACTTATACAAGCATAAAAGGGCATGTCAGCAAAAATCTTTTAAGACAGTTAAGACAATTTAGGCTCCAGTTTAGCCAGTCCAAGTTGCATAAACATTTTGAGACTTTCTAAGCCCATCTAAGCTTGTTGTGCCAATTCAGGCCTATTCATACACCCGTCGGATGTGCTACAAATAGTATACGCTTTAAGATTCCTAATCAACTTTAATAATTGAACTTGACTAGGTAGAAACTTATAAAAACCTAGCAAATAAATTAAATTACGCTTAGAAATTCCATTAGCATAGTCTAAATCATCAACTAATTCACAAAATAAATCTTTTATCATTGGAATATTAATTTTTTTAATGACTGGTGTGAATTTAAGTAAAAGATATCATATCTTTCAAAAAAAAAAAAAATCTCTAATTAAGACATAAATTAGAAATACAATCAACAGTGAAACTTCCAAGAACAACCAAAATTGAAGAAATCAAAACTCCTTTGGTTATCCGAGAAAAGGAACCACAAACAAATATGTAAAACCTTACCAAATACCATTCTCACTAGTAAGGACATTCAATACTCTCATACAAAAACAAAATTACTCCCCACACAGTTCTCAATCCCAAAAAGGATTTGTGCGGGCGTGTTATTAAACATGCATTACACAAAGGGAAATTCAGCAAGCAGACACAATTTATTTCCAAAAAAACCTAAAACAACTTCATT